GCATGCGTATCAATATCACAATTTGCACCTCAAGTGCCCAATATTTTAATTTTCCACAAAAAAAATCAACAACAATATTTTTTTCACTAATAAAGAGCTCACGGCTCATGCCAGAATAATCAAAAAAGAATCTTACGAAAATATTCAAGAATAAATAATTCAGAAAAATAATATTCCAAATTTTTAATACGTTGCTTCAATATCAAAATTAAAAATGTCAAATACTTCATATTAATAATATTTAATTTAAAGAAAATCAACCTTCAAATAATAATATTTAATTTGAAGAAAATCAAGCTTCAAATAATGCACGGTATGAAAGAAACCAAGTTTCAATTAAACAGTTAAAACAATTAGCAGGAAAAAGATAAATAAATTTAAAATATATATCACAGATCAATGATGAAGAATATAACAAGATAAAATAATTTAATAAATGCGCAACAATGATCTACACCATTTAAAAATATAATCATTCACATTTAGCCCGTGTACACAGTCGTCATCTCGTGTACACGACTTTCAACATATTTCAATAATCACATTAATATCAATTCTAGGAAAAATTTCTCCCACACAAGGTTAGACAAGTCACTTACCTCGACTTGCTCCAATTTAATCAGGTATTATGTTTTTTCCTCGATTTTCCGACTCCGATCGATTCGTATCTAGTCATAATTAATTCGATAGGTATGAGAAGAGGTAGATGGCGGCCTAAGAAGGATTTGGGCGAGGTGATCAGGCAAGACAAGGCGCGGCTTCAGATTTCCGAGGGCATGGCTCTTGATAGAAAGGTGTGGAGATTGAACATTAGGGTTGAAGGTTAGGGGGTAGTCGAGCGTTTTTCTACTTTGTATCGGTTAGTCTGATAGTGTTTTGTCTAGGACTGCTTGCGGCTTATGTTGTGTTCACACTATTTTTTCGTTTTTCATAGTAGTGTGTTCTTTCTTTTCCATCTATTTCCTGTCTCTTACGATGCTGGTATTATTTTTTGGGTTTCTGTTTTTATTTCGGATCTATTATCTATTTTCGTTTTCTTGAGCCGAGGTCTTTCGGATCAGCCTCTCTATAGGTAGGGGTGTCTGGTCAAAGTTATTCAATTCATGGAAGTGTTGATAGCAACATATGCATCATCCCCACCACCTATTTGTAGAAGGCCTATTTGCATCATCCCCACCACCTATCCAATCTCACTTGTACTGCTTTACATTCTCCATTCTTCAATAATAACTGCTTGAAGCTGTAATTTAGATCCACTAATCTCAAATACTTTTATACTATTTTGTATTTATAAATTTTTAAGTTCTTGTTCTTTCAGCTTTTGTCCACACTAACTAATTAAGCATAGCAATTAGTGAGCAAACGAGACCAGGCCGTAGGGCAACAAACTAGAGAAAATAATAGGGAGTCATGATCATGATCACCCCTTGTTCTTAAAATAGACTAACAGATCTTGTGATTATTCTTAAATGTAGACTAGGCATTTGTGATATTTTATCAGCTCATTTATAGTAAAAAGGAAGTGCCAAATATATAGTACAGGAACATACTGTGCTAGTAGTTATATCACCTTTTGACACCAAGGCTCCAACTATCAACTCCAGAGCAGCAAGATCTACAATACTTGAATCTACGGCTAGACTCAAGAGTGTCCTGGCAGGCATTCTCAACCGCTTCGTAAATTGCTTTGTCTTGTGAAAATACCTGTGCTGCTATAGGTCAGAGTTCTGAGTAAAGGTTGATTACAAACTAAACAAATAAGAACCTGGAATAGTCATAATCTCAAACAGTACTACAGAGCATATCGATATCAGCCTTTGCTCTAACTAGCAAAGTAAGAATTACCAGTGACATACATTTTCCGGAGGCTGAGTCATCTATTTGGAACTGTCTGCATCTCATCAATAGAAGAATTGTACTCTCCACATTACTGGCAGAAGACGAGGCCATCAGTTGGACAAGGGTTGGCATTGCGGCAGACACACAATTGGAAAATCTCAGATGCAACCAACGTTCTTATTTTCTCCAAATTCCCAACATCAGGCAAAGAACCATTCCTTCGTTATCCCATCAACAACCGCATAATGCTTTGAAAAATAACTGACCTTTGCTAAATTCTTCAATTTGAGAAGGGGAGAGTAGAGAGTGAAGTGAGATTTTGAACTGAGAGGCCACTGCCATCATAGGAGACAGAATGTTTTGGGGGAATATGAAATTTGGAGCCTTTTTTAGGAGAAGCGGGAGTTTTCTGCATGCGATTATTCGCATCAATAAATAGGAGAGCAATTGGAGCTTACATATTGCGATTTATAAATCGCATTCCATATTATAAAACGCATTCCTTTATTGCAACTTATAAAACGCATTCGCTAATTGTGACTTATAAAAGACGTATAATAAGCATTCTGTAATTCCATAGAAAACACAATTACCTAATTGCGAATTATAAATCGCATTCACTAATTGACGCATTCATTAATTGCGACACATAAAACGCATATAATTGCGATTTATAAATCGTATTCAGTAATTCCGACTATAAAACGCATTCCTTAATTGCAACTTATAAATCGCGTTTTGTAATTGCAACTAACACCAGAAGAGCAGCCCAGTACGCATTAGCGCGGGGTCCGCGGAATGGCCGGACCACAAGGGTCTGTTTTATACAGTCTTACCCTGCATTTCTGCAAGAGGCTGTGATTATGGAGTACGTGTAGTGTTGAGCCAAGTAAGAAGTACAATTTAACTAAGGAAAATATATGGTGAGATATAGTCAGAAATTGGTGCTTGTAAATACCAATTAAATAGCTTCATGTGTCATATGGAGGGATATGAGAACCAAGAATTTAATCTAAAAGGTAGGACCCCTCAGTGCTAATTTCTGAAAAATAATCTTGACTTGTCAAGATCAGTAACCCATTGTCATCTTCGAACACTTCTTTGCTGTCCACTTTCTTCTGTTGACACTAACACTGCTCTCCAGAACAAGAAAAAAATCTGAAATTCCAACAAGCGTCAAGACAAAACAGCTCAAATGGTGATTCCTTATATTATTAACGCACCATCTCACTGTCGAAATCTGATATTAGCTTGGCCTGTACACCTTCATTACGATCAAACAATGAGCATAGGGGATGATCAACATGAAACAAGATTTCCACTTCACCTCAAATAAAAGAACAAGGAGCCCAAAACACTTTCTGACAGATTAATAAGCTTGAAAGGAAGTCAATAAACAACTGCATTCTTGCTTCTTTGCTTGTTATCCTCAGGAAGTGAGAGGGAGCTATTACAGAAACCAAGAATCCACCAAAGCTAAACAAAGGATTGCATTGAGACCTGAGATTTTTACAAAGTGATCCTTAAAATACACTCAGAACATGTCTCTCCCTAAAGAGCTCAAATAGATGAGGTTCCGATATTATCATGAGTTCCCAAGATGTAGCTTTAACATGGGATCCTAATTGCAGTGCAATCTTACAGATTCTCATACTTGAGCAACAAAATCTGCGTGAATATTATAAGAATGGGAAACATTACCTTCTTTTAGATTCCAGATGAACTTTATAGTGTTAATCTGACCACGTATATAACAGATGAATGCAAAGGAAAAAAAAAAAGACTTGACACTGGTAAGATCAAGCGGTCAACTATGACTCATGAATCCCAACCAAAGTGTCGGGTATATGAATCATATGTAACCATTCTGCTCTATTGGGATCCATTTCATTTCAATATTACTTCTCTTATAAATAATTTGACCTTAAGGTAACTAAAAAACTAGAGAATCACTACTTGCATTTAACCCTACAATGGAAAAAACTCCTCACAAGTACCGAACCTAAGCATTCCAGTTCCAAGAGAAACGAATCAGCTTAATCAATCCAACAAGGATAAAAGGAGAGATTTACCATTTACCAACTTCATTACAAAGTCAGGTAAGATAAAACAGACAAGCCATGATAATTATCAACTACTACATACATTCTCCTTTAAGCATTCTAATGACATATGAAAAGAGAGAATTAAGTAGGTAGAATTTTCTTATTGAGTCTATACAGACCACTCTGGCAGAATCACTAGAGTTAGTCATAAACCTTTACCAACTTAAAATCATTATGACCACTATAAACTTGAGAGCCCTCTTAGCGCAGAGTACAACCCGAAAAAACACAAGCCTAGCCAAATCAGTTACAAGGCTGCATTATTATCCTCAGTACAACCAGAATGCTTCCAACAAGTATCAGAGACCGCTCTATCACTAATTCCGAAAACAAGTAACAAGTCAAGCTTATTGCAGCTGCATTCTAATCACAGATAATGTTTGGCATGATGAAAAGTGCAATAAATGTATTCCTGGAAAATGTTTTCCTAGAGGAGTATGTCTTCTCACAAAATGGAGAAAATGACTTCCATCACTCATAGGTGGAAGTCATTTTCCCTCTACAAATATCTCAAAATCTTATTCAATCTCACTTGTATCAATCAAAAGTTAGACATTGTTGTCATCCTTTAATACACAAAAATATCACGAAAGCATAATCCTCATACCGTATCCTACACCTTGACAATTACCATACGCCACCTGTTTTCATACCCAACCAAATGCTCGAAAATCATCCAAAAAATGATTTCACAAGGGAAAACATTTTCCTCCATATCAGAAGCACAAGAATCTCAAATTGTAATCTTATCATAGCAGTTCAATGTATAGAAATAATAGCACAGCAGAATTATGGCTGCATTTTACGTACAAGATGCGGGTATAGCTGCGGTAAAAGAGTTAACTGAGAGGAAATACATTATAGTGTTCTTATCATATCCAAAGCTATCTATTTTAGCGCAGAAATCAGCAAGAAATGAATCGTTTGGCCGAACAGTAATATTCACAGATTAGGAGCTAAGCGGAAGCTGCAAAGAGCTGAACACATTGGTATCTGAAGCTTAAGCCCTATCAAGCCACTGTGACCTCAGATTATTAGGCTCCTCTGGAAACCACATTCATCAAGCAAGAACAGTGAAGAACAATTAATTGAACTGCAGTAAATGATATTTATCCAGATATATACAAAATCTGTGAGAACCAAGCAACAATTCACAAAATGAAAACCAAAAAGAACAATTAAAAGGAAAGAAAGACTATCCACAAATGACCCCACATATTGATAGGAACAAACCACAACATGATGGACCCTATTTTGCTGTACAAATACCACTCAACCAACATGAAAAGGACCAATATCGCCACTTCGAATAGAGCCAGCAACCTCATCTGCAATAGTCAAGCAAGAGACTACCCAACCACTCAATGCCACCCACACCATCTTAGCCACCCACAGTGTCATACTCCATGGAACTGCCATCCTCAACCTCCTCCTTCTCTTTCCAAGATTCAACAATCAATGCAAACTCAGACGACTTAAATACGCTACGAGATATTGCAAGTGGCCTTGCTGCCACGATTCAGCCCTTTGCTCCGATTCGTGTAGGAAAAAAATGTAAACCCAAAAAAGCATTCACTTTTCTACACCAAATCCATTTCAAGATCAACCCTAGTCCTCAGTTTATGCTATAAAATTGATCAGATTAGGAGAAACAAATTACCCCTTGAATTTCAATAAAATTGACCTTTTGTTGAAATCAGTCCCAAAAAGATCCAAGATTTGTTCTTGAGAAAGACCAACCGCTTGAACCCCACCAAACTTTTGAATTGATATTCTGCTTCAACTGCTGCAAAAAAGCGACTAACAAATTCACACACATATATTATATAGGACAAAAGTAAATGTGTGAAAGTACTTAATTTCAAATAAAGGATATTATTTAATGACTTACCATTTTAGGAATGATTTGTACAAGAACCTTCAATAAATAGTGGTAGAAGTACAGAAATGGTCTGGATTTGTTGACCATTTTGTAATTTGTAAGGTAATGCTGTCGGCAAAGGATAGAAGCCACCAAGGCACGCACCTCTGTCAGTGTTGGGACCCATATAGCTAAATTTCGACTTCGGAAACCATTTGTGGTTCTACGGACAAGTATGACGAAAATGTGTGTTTAAAAAAAAAAGTGATATTTCTATACATAGCGCTCTTTTAAAGAGCATTATACTTTAACGGAGTTTTGGCCGTTAAAGTATAGCGTTCTTTAAAAAGCGCTATATATATATAACGCTATTGTAAACCGCGCTATACAGCTATGCATAACGCGGTATATAACTGTGTTATACCTCTTTTGTGGGCCCACCAATAAGTCTTCTGCGTTTAACTGACATAACAATAATTCAAATGGGTATAGCGCTCTTTAAAAGAGTGTTATACATAAAAACATTCAGCCCACCGAGCTAGGCATTGCCTTATTTAAAGGCGTTAGGATTTTACAAAAANGGACTTGCGTGTGCAGTCCGTAAAAAAATTTCCGGAAAGTTTTCAGGTGAAAAATGGATGAAAATGTGGATTAGATGTTTAAAACACAACTGAGTTGACTTTGGTCAACATTTTGAGTAAACGGACTCGGATTAGTATTTTGACAGTTTCGGTAGGTCCGTATCGTGAATTGGGACTTGGGCATATGCCCAGAATCAAATTCTGAGGTCCCTAACCCGAGATATGGAATTTTGATGAAAAATTTAAAGTTTAAGTTTAAATAGTGACCGGATGTCGAATTATGTGCAAATGACTACGGAATAGAATTTTGATGATTCCAACAGCTCCGTATGGTGATTTTGGACTTAAGAGCGTGATCGAAATTTTATTTGGAAGTCCGTAGTGGAATTAGGCTTGAAATACCGAAAGTTGAATTTTTGGGAAGTTTGACCGAGGGGTTGGCTTTTTGATATCGGGGTCGAAATCCGATTCTGAAAATTTTTATAGCTCCGTTATGTCATTTATGACTTGCGTGCAAAATTTGAGGTCAATTGGACTGGATTTGATAGGTTCCGATGTTTTTTGTAGAAATTAAAAGTTTCAAAGTTCATTAGGCTTGAACCTACGTGTGATTCGTGATTTTAGCGTTATTTGTTGTGATTTGAGGTTTCAAATAAGTTCGTATGATGTTTTAGGACTTGTTAGTGTAATGGGTTGAGGTCCCAAGGGCCTCGGGTGACTTTCGGATGGTTAACAGATCAAAAATGGGACTTAAACAGTTGCTACAAAAGCTGCTGCAAATTCTTTTCTGCTGTGCAATCGAGTCTCCAGAAATCGAGCCGAGGATCGAAGGCAGACTCGAGATCCATGATCGAAGGCAAGTTCGGAGGCTAATGATCGAAGGCCACTGATCGAAGGCCCAGGATCGAGGGCTATGACCAAGGCCAGTGATCGAAGGCCATAAAGATCGAAGCCATGATCGATAGCCAGGATTGATGGCTGTGATCGAGCCCCAGGGTCGAGGGCCATGATCGAAGCTATGATCGAGGACCATGATCGGACTCCCCATGATCGAGGTCCAGGATCGGACCCCATGATCGAGGTCACCCTGGATAGATCTGTAAGATATAAAATCAGGGGGGCTTCGTTCCATTCGCCATTTTTAACAATTTGGAGCTTGAGCAGAGGTGATTTTTGATATATCTTTAAGAAAAAATATTGGGGTAAGTATTCTTAACTCAATCTTGGTTAGATTACCCGAATCCATCACTGTTTTTAACATTTAATTGGTGATTTAAGTTGGGGAAAATTTGAAAACCCTCTTGGATAGATTTGAGGATTTGAGGGTCGAATCGTTATCGGAATTTAGTCATTTTGGTATGGTTAGACTCGTGGTTGAATGGGAGTTCATATTTCGTAAATTTTGCCGGATTCCGAGATGTGGGCCCCACGGGCAAATTTTGAGCTAAATTCGAATTTTATTGAAAAAAATATAATATTTTCTTATGAAATTGATTTCTATAATTTTTGTTGACTATATCGAATAAATTATGACTAGATACGAGTCGATCAGAGTCAAAAAATCGAGGAAAAAGCATAATACTTGATTAAATTGGAGCAAGTCGAGGTAAGTGACTTGTCTAACCTTGTGTGGGGGAAATTTCCCCTAGAATTGATATTAATGTGATTATTGAAATGTGTTGAAAGTCGTGTACACGAGGTCACGAGTGTGTACACGGGCTAAATGTGAAGGATTATATTTTTAAATGGTGTAGATCATTGTGCATTTATTAAATTATTTTATCTTGTTATATTCTTCATCATTGATCTGTGATAAATATTTTAAATTTGTTTGCCTTTTTTCTGCTAATTATTTTACCTGTTTAATTGAAACTTGGTTTCTTTCATACTGTGCATTATTTGAAGGTTGATTTTCTTTAAATTAAATATTATTAATATGAAGTATTTGACATTTTTAATTTTGATATTGAAGCAACGTATTAAAAATTTGAAATATTATTTTTCTGAATTATTTATTCTTGAATATTTTCGTAAGATTTTTTTTTGATTATTCTGGCATGAGCCGCGAGCTCTTTATTAGTGAAAAATATATTGTTGTTGATTTTTTTGTAGAAAATTAAAATATTGGGCACTTGAGGTGCAAATTGTAATATATTGTGATATTGATACGCATGCGGTGGTATAAGGTCAGGGTGTTGAAACGCATGCGGTGAAATAAGGGTGGCTTGATAAGCATGGCTAGTAGGGGTGACTACTAGAAGTCATGCGGTGTGATAAGGGTGGCTAAAACATGGGATGCTATTTCGGGAAAAAATATTTTTTTTAAATAAATTTTGAAGGCTCCCGCGGTGATATAAGAAAATAAGATATTGTGAAATTATTTAAAATTTGGGATTACGAGGCGGTACCTCGGTAGTGCCCTTGTTGATATTGATTTATGGCCATAGTTGCTTTCGATTAATTGTTGTGATTTTCATAAAGTTGAAGGAAATTCTGTTTTGATTCCACGAGATATTATTTGCAATTATTTGGTGTCATTAAATGTGACATACTATTTGATTCATTTCCAACGTCATTTTATTTTACTACATTGATAAACATTTTACCATGCCATTATTATATTCCAGTAGGGCCTCACCTGACCTCGTCACTACTATACCGGGGTTAGGCTTGGCACTTACTGGGTACCGTTGTGGTGTACTCATACTACGCTTCTGCTCATCTTTTTATGCAGATCCAGGTACATTTTACCAGCCTAGACGTTAGTGAGTTACATGCGCACGGAGACTTCGAGGTATATCTGCCAGCGTCCGCAGACTCCGGAGTCCCCTTCTATCATTGTATGTTGCTTCCTTATATTTTATTTAGACCTTGACTTATAGAGAAATTGAGAATAAATTCTTAGAAGCTTGTGACTTATTTCTACCGGGTTTTGGGAATGGTAATCATTTGAATTGTAGATTATTTATTTTCAGATATTTATGATTATTCCGCATTGATAGGCTTACCTAGTCTTAGAGACTAGGTGCCATCACGACACCCTACGGAGGGAAATTTGGGGTCGTGACAAGTTGGTATCAGAGCTCTAGGTTCATAGGTTTCATGAGTCACAAGCAGGTTTAGTAGAGTCTTGCGGATCGGTACGGAGACGTCTGTACTTATCTTCGAGAGGCTATGGAACTGTTAGGAAATATTCACTTCTTTGACTCCTTATCGTGCGTCATTGATTTAGCTTGAAATATATATCTTATATTCCTTTGTATCCACTCGTGTATGACATTGCGCACTCGGTATCAGTTGTGCGTCGAAGGTTCGTGATGTCGTAGATGGATTAGGAGGGAGCCAGAGATGCTGAAACATTGCCTCAATATGTGGTTCTGACTGAAGATGTGGGTGTATTGAGAGATCACCTAGTGAATCAAGTGGGGATGCAACGGACGTTGGCGTCTGGTTGATTTATACGAGCTGTGAAGGTTATTATTGTGGATCATAGGACTGTGACCTATGACTTCGCGCCGAGTGGGGGGGAATCCACTACCAATGGGTGGATTAAGTGGTCATGTATTATATCACTTTTGGCCTGAAATGTATATATGTGGTACTAAAAGGTTCCCTAAAATTTACACATGTTTAAGGCCTGGGATTTTGTAGAGGATAAGGTCGGGACTTGCGGTATGTCCGCCTCCTTAATAATAATATACTTTAGTACCAAAGGAGTTATAGAAACAACTCTAAATTTACAGAAGGTCTACTCAACGTGGACGGCATGGCTGCAGATTTTGGGGTGCTTCGGAGGAAGTACACTTGTTGACGAGAGTCTGGACTATGTGGTTCGTGATAAGATTTGTCTGTATCGAGCTCTACTTTTGTGATCGTTATGTTTAACTAGGGTAAGGGTTACCCCAAAGAAGAATCGAAGAGTATGTTAAGAAATGGGTCAGCACAACAGTGTTCAGTCAGCATAACAAAAGAAGAAATTTACATTGGGAGAGATAATTCTCCACCGGTGTTCGTGGCAAGACTATGAAGAGGGCAGACCAGCCAATGCAACACCGCCCAGTTGGCTCAGTTCTCAGAAATACTTTTGAAGGAGTTTGTTTCTCAGACTCTCCGTAATACATGGCGCATAGGGTTGAACGATTGCGTCAGGTCATCATGACGGTGTCAGAATATGCCATCAAGTTCAATAAGTTAGCCTGTCATACTCCTACTTTGTTTCCTACAGCCAGAGAGCGAGTTCACAGACTCATTAAAGGACTCAATTATGATCGTAAAAATTTTGTACGACTCGGGAGCTACAAGCTGATACTTCATTTCTGCTAGTTGTACAAAACTAAGGAGACCCAGATGTCTCGAGTTTCTGGGAGATTCAATGGATTCTACTCTGCAAGTATAAATCATTATGGCGGGGGCTCGGGCAATCGGCCAGCCCAGTCCACACATCGGATTACTCGGGATGCTCCAGTAAATTCTTTTAATGCACCACCGATATGAGTTTCCTACAATGATTATTCCAGTTATGTGGCAAAGACTCGATATGAGCAGCCAAACTCACAAAAGTGTTGTTATGAATACGGTGATACTAGGCACATCATGAGAAAATTTTCCCAAACTTGGGAGAGACATATTTTATCAAAGCACTCAGGCTACGTGCCCCATTGAAGTTACTACACCACCCACACGAATAGTTAGGGGTGGAGGACAGGTGGGTAGAAGGCGTCCTAGAGGTGGAGACCCAGCCGTTGATATATTTTATAGTATGGTGGAGGTCGCTACATCAGTTGGTGTCGTTACAGATACGACCTTGATATAATATAAAGGAATAATTTCCTTAACTTGATTCGGTTCTCAGTATCGAAACGAGTCCTTCTATGGTGCTCCACTTATGAGTGAGCTTCGTAATTCTATAATCTACTTATGTGTTTACTCCTGTTGGGAGATTCTATGGAGATAACTACGACTATCATTCCATGTTGGTTACTAATAAGAGTTGTGAGGATAAAGGTGGCATTATGTTACTCATTTCGGTAAGTTTTGATGTAAATTCTGAATAATTAATTGTAAATTGTGAATTATATGCCCTACCGGTGTGGGGTTCATTATGTGTTGTGATTTTATTTAACGGAAATTATTTAGAAGGAGCAAATGGAAAGTTTCGATTGGCACGGTGTGCATATTACTTGTGATTCAGAATTGAGGATGAGATCTTCGCATTTTAAAATAAACTGATATGTTTAAACCGGGCTACGAGCTGCGGTGGAAGTTATATAAGGACGAGATCCTTATGAGAAAAATTCTTGTGTTTAAGTTCTCCCTTGTGGAATTAAATTTATACTATAGTACTAATAGGGAGTCATGCATGTTAGGCTTATTTGAAAATTCTTATATGGAATTCTCTGTGCATAGTTGTCAAATTCGTGTTGTAATTATTAATTTTTAACCTACGAGGTAGGTGCCCGCCTAGGTGGCGTTAAATGTGACTCGTTAATTCGGGTAAATAATTATGAGGTCTTCATGCCTCGTATCTCGTTATCAGTATTGTGAAGGTTTAAAACGAGATTCTTATTAACATGAAGTTAATCGACGATTTTATAATTGATTATGAACAACTATTAAGACCAAAGTGACCTAGAAGGGTGCTCCGTTCAGGTGGACCGAGGGATGTGAGGAGAGCTTACAAAAGCTCAAGACAGCTTTGACTACAACCCCAGTATTGGTATTACCTACAGGTACAAGATCTTATACTGTGTATTGTGACGCGTCGCGTATTGGTCTCGGCGCAGTGTTGATGCAAAACGGTAGGGTGATTGCCTACGCGTCCAGATAGTTAAAGGTGCATGAGAAGAATTATCTTGTACATGACCTAGAGTTAGCAGCTATTGTTCATGCCTTAAAAATTTGGTGGCATTATTTGTATGGTGTCCACTGTGAGATCTACACCGATCACCGGAGTCTACAGTATCTGTTTAAATAGAAGGATCTTCACTTGCGGCAGTGGAGGTGGTTGGAGTTGCTTAAGGATTATGATATCACCATTCTCTATCATCCTGGGAAGGCCAATGTGGTGGCCGATGCCTTGAGTCATAAGGCGGAGAGTTTGGGCAGTTTAGCATATTTACCGGTAGCAGAGAGGCCTTTGGTCCTTGATGTTCAGGACTTGGCCAACCAGTTTGTTAGATTGGATGTTTCCGAGCCGAGTCGAGTTTTAGCTTATGTGGTTTCTCAGTCTTCTCTTTATGATCGTATCAGGGAACGCCAATATGATGACCCCCATCTGCTTGTCTTTAAGGATACAGTTCAGCACGGTGATGCCAAGGAAGTCACTATTGGAGATGACGATATATTACGTATGCAGGGCAGGCTATGTGTGCCTAATGTGGATGGCTTGCGTGAGTTGATTCTCCAGGAGGCTCACAGTTCGCTGTACTCCATTCATCCGGGTGCTGCAAAGATGTATCAGGACTTAAGACAACACTATTGGTGGAGGCGGATGAAGAAATACATAGTGGGGTATGTATCTCGGTGTCTAAATTATCAACAGGTGAAATATGAGCATCAACGACCGGGTGGATTACTTCAGAAGTTAGAGATTCCAGAATGGAAATGGGAGCGGATCACTATGGATTTCGTTGTTGGGCTCCCACGGACTCAGCGGAAGTTTGATGCAGTTTGGATGATTGTGGATAGACTGACCAAATCAGCTCATTTCATTCCTGTGATTACTACTTACTCTTCAGAGCAGCTAGCTCAGATATATTTTCGCGAGATTGTCAGATTTCACGGTGTACCAGTATCTATCATCTCTAACCGGGGTACACAGTTTACCTCACGACTTTGGAGGGCAGTACAGCATGAGTTGGGTACTCGGGTAGAGTTGAGTACGCATTTCACCCTCAGACGGACGGGTAGTCCGAACGCACTATTCAGATACTGGAGGATATGCTTCGTGCGTGTGTGATAGATTTTGGGGGTGCTTGGGATAAGTTCTTACCACTTGCGGAGTTTGCTTACAACAACAGTTACCAGTCAAGCATTCAGATGGCTCCGTATGGTAGGCGGTGCCGGTCTCCAGTGGGTTGGTTCGAACCAGGCGAAGCTAGACTTTTGGGTACAGACTTGGTTCAGGATGCCTTAAAAAAGGTTAAGTTGATTCAGGATTGACTTCGTACAGCCCAATCTAGACAGGAGAGTTATGCGGATCGGAAGGTTCATGATGTTGTATTCATAGTTGGTGAGCGGGTATTGCTCCGGGTTTCGCCTATGAAGGGTGTGATGAGGTTCGGGAAGAAGGGCAAGTTGAGCCCTAGGTATATTGGGCCTTTTGAGATTCTTGAGAGAGTTGGAGAGGTGGCTTACAGACTTGCACTACCACCTAGTCTTTCTGCGGTTCATCCGGTATTCCATGTTTCTATGCTTCGGAAATATCACGGCGATCCGTCTCATGTGTTAGACTTCAGTTCGGTTCAGTTGGACAAGGATCTATCTTATGTTGAGGAACCAGTGGCTATTTTAGATAGGCAGGTTCGAAAGCTGATGTCAAAGAACATTGCTTCCGTAAAGGTTCAGTGGAGGGGTCATCCGGTCGAGGAGGCGACTTAGGAGGCCGAGCATGATATACGTAGCTGTTATCCACACTTATTCACCAACTCAGGTACTTTTTCTAACTCCGTTCGAGGACGAACGTTTGTTTTAGAGGTGGAGAATGTGATGACCCAAAATGTCCATTCAACCACGAGTCTAACCATACCAAAATGACTAAATTTCGATAACGATTCAACCCTCAAATCCTCAAATCTATCCAAGAGGGTTGCTTCTATGTTGGGGCTACCGTCATCTTTTAAAAGGCCTTCAGATTCAATTGCCTGGTTCTGTATTTGCTTGAGAACTCTTGGCATGAGCTCCTGAATCTTAACTATTTCTTTTCTTTGTCCCTCAGTGTATGCCTGAACTACCTGCATATATTAAAATTTTCATTTCACTAACTATCAACATGCTTTTATTTTGACTAACTAAAAGTGATGATCTTTTTGTTACATAAATAGCCCCCAGTGTCTATATTAGTGAAAGAGATAGCAAAATAAATTGAATTTTTTGCCTCATCGAAATGTTTCCTGATGGAGGTGGAATCGCCATTGGATTCCTGTATCAACTTCTTGCATCCCTCAATGAACTCTTCCTCATTTATCCTCTCATCTCCATTTTTGTCGAAAATCCGTGACAGTGTTGACAGGGCAAAGTTACTGTCCACTTTAACCTTTCCCGATTCAAGCTGGTTTACTAGTTCTTCTAGTTCGGTGAGTGTTATGGAGTTGCTCCTATCTTTGTCGGTTTTGGTAAATAATCTGCAAAATGAAATTTTCTTGACTTAAATAGATCAAAATGCTGCTACTTTAAATGAATTGTAGTGTTAACTGTAAGTCTTCGTAAATAGCTGAGGAAACAAGACTTTTCATAAGAGTTCAACTTCTACACCGTGACTGTAAAAAGGAAGATGTTTACACTTCCATGTCACTTAAAAGTATGGGTGGCAGATTTAACTCATCATTTAAGGATGTCAAAAAATGTTACCCTTTGAGCACATTAGTGTCAGGACGTCCACCTTTAAAGAGATTTCCTCTTACCTGCCTTTGGATATGCTCCACAAATAATTTCACCAGGTTTTCGTGTTTTATGTATTCTAAACACTTCTTGAATCAATGGATTCCACATCTACATATATCAGAAACATAAACAAACATGGTATTATAACCTGAAGTACACCAAAGAGTGACTTAGTTTGACAGAGATCAGGATTACCAATTGGATAATGAACCATAAATTAGGTTGTTGATGATAACCTGATATGCGAAATATGACAGCAACAATGTGACTGATACTATGAGAGCAACAAGAATGGTGATACGCTTTCCTACTGATGAACTGATGATATCGACGAATAACATTATTATGAATGGTGCAAGGGAGAGAAACATGACTCCAGCTATATAACCAGTTAGATCATTTGTTATGATTCCAGTAACTGTAAGTAGGAAAAGAAAGATCCCATTCTTATGATGCTTAGTTATATCTTTTTCCAAACTTCAAAGTATGAAAAGGAAATTAACATACTCTTTAAGTCTTTCAATTTCAAAGTAGAAGAGGAGGATTCTGCACTTTGTGTATTTGAATTTACTGAGATGTTTTGTCTCCCAAGTATGACACATATGCCCCAGAGCACAGTAAGATTCAAGACACTGGAACCAACATTCGAACCAAGTGAAGAAGATACCGATACTTGAGCTTGCTCTCTATTGATCAAAAGTCCAGATACTGAAAAACCAAATGCTAGCTAGTTAGAATATAATTTCCAAAAAGGAAGAATTGGCTAAATCCCCTACTGAATTTAGAGATGTAGGCATTTTGTTTCAATGCTTAAAGGGATGAGAAGCAGGGGCGGAGCTGCAACCAGGTTGTTCTCCGAAAATTATACTATGTATATAAGGTCAAACATTACTTTTGCTACATATATTTTATAATTTTGAACATCATTAGTGATATTGCTTGCTCCACCACTGATGAGAGGGACTAATTCACAACTGCTAGACAACGTGGATTAAACATGCTACTTATATGAATAACAGTTCAAGTTCTTTGCACTGAAAGTGTACGAATATTTGAGTAAACTTGTAACAATATGTAACTCATTAGGGCAAACTTGATTTGGTAACATGTGAAATAGGATAATAACCTGCTAATCTGCTATAACCGGTTAAATTGCACTGATCCTATGAATAAATAGTACTTGGACATTTCCTTGGAGCAATGACAAAGGCAATTAAGGAGTAGATAATTACCAAACGCCATAACAATTCTTGGCCATGTTATAAGGGTTGGAAAGATACTTGCACCAAAAATTCCAGTGTCAAGAATACTAAAGAGCCTGTTGCTTCCTTTGGACAGTACTTTCTCACCAAGAATCAACAAGTACTGAAATATGGCAATCATGTATATGTACCCTCCAATATTTTCTGCACATGGAAAGAAACCATATATATGTTTACATTGATCCCCTGAAGTTATAAGTGCCTTTGAGCTGCCTAGACTTAGATAATCTGATTGATTCTTGAAGTGTTCAACTCCATCTGAGATCAATTGAGTACTAATTTCTGAACCTTCAAGTTTCAGAATACGCCCTTCAATAATGGGCAAAACCAAGATCAAGATTGTAACAAAGAAGAAAGAAAAGCTAGCCATTGTAGAGAAAATGAAGAAAATTCTGTACAAGTATGAACCTCAATGTTTATTATTAGCTGCTACCGGTAAATATTTATAGTAGTCAACTGAAGAAATCATGCTTGCATCATGCTCACATCAGGTGGTTGCATCATCATAATATTTTACTTTGTCCACCAAAAACATAGTTAATTAAGACCCGATAATTTAGGGTCTATATTGTTTAGATTAATGAATAATTGAAGACTTAGTGAAAACTGTTATAAAATAAAAGCAATTTAGTAAAACATGAACAAGACATGTTGTTATGAAATAAAAGCAATTTAGTAAAACATGAACAAGAAATAGAGATAGAAAGAAGGAAGAAATTTTCTTCTTCAATTGTGTGTATTTTCTTATCTATTACAAGGCCTTTATATAGGCATGAAAAGTGAAGAAAAATATGTCATTGAATATGTCATTAAGCATAGAAATATGTCATTGAATATGTCATTAAGCATTTGAGAAGATCATGGAGGAAGAGTAGACATCCATCATAATTTGATTTTTCTTATAATACTCCCCCTTGGATGTCCATAGATAATGTGCCTCGTTAAAACTTTATTAGGAAAAATTCCTATGGGAAAAAAATTCTAGTGAAGGAAAAAGAGTACACATGTTTAAAAATACACTTTTTGGTTGCCTCGTTAAAAACCTTGCAAGGAAAACCCAGTGGGACAAAACCTTATAAGGAAAAAAGAGTACAACGCATATTAACTCCCCCTCATGAGAGCATCAATTCACATCCTTGAGCCTTCGCATCCCAATCTTGTACACTAGTTTCTTGAAGGTTGACGTCGGTAGAGATTTGGTGAATATATCAGCCATATTATCACTTGAACGGATCTGTTGCACATTGATATCACCATTCTTTTGAAGATCATGTGTGAAAAATAACTTTGCTAAAATTTGCTTTGTCTTATCCCCTTTATGAATCCTCCCTTCAATTGGGCTATGCATGCTGCATTGTCTTCATACAAAATTGTGGGTAGTTTGTCACAGTTCAAACCATATTTATCTCGAATAAGATATATTATAGACCTCAACCATACACATTCTCGACTTGCTTCATGAATAGCA